CCTGGCTGCCGCCATGAGGAGAACTAGATCGCGGCAGAGGCAACGAAACTCCGCCTTTTGAGGAAACGGAGCTTGGCCCGCGACTCCGAGATGATCATCTTCCCGCAATGAGAAGATGACTCATCCACAAACGCCACCTCAGCGTGCTACATGCCCAGGCACGTGAGGCAGCGATCGTGACCATCACCCAGCGCCAGGTAACGACCGCATCCAGAAACGCCCGGGTGATACGTTGTCTATAGCAAGACCCACATCGTCTTTACAAAGACGTAACGTCAAGTTTGCCACGCAACGTTGTCTTTAAAAAGACGCACCCGAAATTGCTCTTTTAGGGAAAAAGCTCTTTTAGCGTGCTGAGGCGCACAGGGGAGATGATCATCTGCAACACAAACAGGGGGTAGTGCAGCCTGATGTGTGCAACCCACTCGAAACGGGAAACCACCACCGCTGAAGCCTGAGTTGCTAGACCGTAAATACAAAAATTGCAAGATATAAACTAGCAATTCTGAGAAAAAAAAAAGGTTAGACTTGCAAAATATAAACAGTTTTTCTCGCAATAGCAAGTTTACTTCTCACAATACTGTTTTTTTTGCCACATAATAAAAAAATAAAAAGATCGTTTTGACTATTCTATTTGTGACTTTTTCTCTCAGAATTGTGACTTTATATTTCACAATTCTGTATTTATATATAGCAATTCTGACTTTATATCTTGCAATTCTGACTTATTTTCAGAATTTGTGAGAAAAAAAGTCAGAATTGTGAGATAAAAAGTAATTTATTTATTATTTATTTATTCATTTATTTATCTGGCATACATACATTGCCAAAGAATTTAGTTTTTTTAGTGCTGTCAAATTATTAATCGAGATTAATCGCGATTAATCACATCCAAAATAAAAGTTTTTGTTTACATAATATATGTGTGTGTACTGTTAATTATGTATATATAAATACACACACATGCATGTATATATTAAAAAAAAAATGTTACATTTATATATTAAATATATTTATATATGATATAAATTATATGAATATAAATATATACATGTAAAAACATGTAAATATTTTCAAAATATATGCTCTATGCGTGTGTATTTATATATACATAATAGATATACACAATACACACATATATTATGTAAACAAAAACTTTTATTTTGGATGCGATTAATCGCGATTAATCGTTTGACAGCTCTAGTTTTTTTTAAATGTTCAGATGGTCATATAGTATTTAATGTTTCATCTTAATGCAAAATATATTTTCTTTTTTTCTTTTTTTCTTTTTTTATTTGTGGTGACATTTCACATGGATACTTCATGAGAATCACCCTTTTGTTGCGAGCAGATTTTTCAGGCCACATCTTCAAATCTTTGTTTTTACAGTATATTACAAGATCAGAGCTGATTTATTGCTTCATATAAAACTGAGAAAGCCTTTCTGGAGACAGTTTGGTAGGTTTGTTTTATTTGTGAGTTAAATCGTCACGCACTACAGTTGTGTTTGAAGTCTCTCTCACACATGCACATGCACACGCTCACTAACACTCTCGACTGTTGCCGGAAGCGTGTAGAAATGATAGCAGCGCTTGTGAATGTGTTTGGAGATATGTGTGGTTTATAACAGCTATCATCTTCTCAGAGTGTCATATCCTGTCCTCACAAACAGTATGTGTGTGTGTTTGTTCAGAGAGACACTCTGGAATTGGTCGGCGAGCCCATCAGTGGAATGGCCCGATGTCCTTATGATCCCAAACACGCTAACGTGGCTCTGTTTGCAGGTAACTGACTGTCTTTTGTGGCTATGTAATGACTCTACCTCACATTATTTACATAATGGACTGATTTGTTTAGCACTTTTTAATCTGTGATAATAAGAGCCGTACACCCAGTGGATACACAGCATAATAATTTTTAATATCACCTAATTTATAGCCGTTTTATTTGCCTCCATAAATGTGTTTAACCACCTCTTCTTAACATCGTTAAGCTCAAGGACTTTCCGTTCGAACCTTTTGCCACATATATCATCATGACACAATGTCGATCCTCACTTCTGGTTATTGACCGCTGACCTCTGCCGTTTGACCTCAGAGGGCAGCTTGTTCACAGGGACAGTGACTGACTTCCTGGCCATCGACGCTGTCATTTACCGCAGTTTGGGAGAGAGTCCAGCCCTGCGCACGATCAAGCATGATTCCAAATGGTTCAGAGGTACTGTTTCATGCATAAAATAAAACCATGAATGTTTGGCAATATAAATACATTGTTTTGTTTTGTTTTGTTTTGTTTTATTTGTCATCTGTTTTGTTCTTGATTTTGTTTATATTTAAGGAATAGTCTTGGGCATTTGTGGCATGCCACAGAACATTTTATTTCTTTATTTGTTTATTTATTTATTGATTGATTGATTGATTTATTTATTTTAAGAACTGAAAAATATTTAAACATTACTATGTACTAACAATTAGGGTTTTTCCTCAATGTTTTCATCTATCACAATAATATACAGTACGTATTATCATTCAAAAACTTTGGGGTTAGTAATTATAGTAAAATAAATAAATCAATAACATTAATACTTTTATTCAGCAAGAACTGATCAAAAGTGACAGTAAAGACATTTATAATGTTGCAAAAAATAAACTTTTTCAAATAAATGCTGTTCTTTTGGACTTTCTGTTCATCAAAGGATACTGAAAAAAAATTATTCTACAAAAACATTAAATATTTTCAACATAGAATAATAAGAAATGTTTCTTGAGCAGCAAATCAGCATATTAGAATGATTTCTGAAGAATCGTGTGACACTGGAGACTGGAGAAATGATGCTGAAATTTCTACTTTGCATAACAGGAGTAAATTACACTTTCAAATGTATTCAAATATAAAACAGCTATTTAAAACTGTTTCATTTAGTAAAGCATTCATGAGCATTTTTTCAGAAACATTAACATGATGCCAAAATGTTGCCAACCCCATTACTAGTGTCATTTTTAAAATCTTGATTAGGTACTTTTCTCATCAAATATTGATGTATGCAATTAATTGTGATTAGATTTTTTTTTTTTTTTTATATTATTAAAAAAGACTTGGCTTTGCATTACCAAAGTAATTCCTGTAGGAGTTATCAAAGCTCAGCTCCCATTTAAACTGAGGTTTATGGATGTGCAAAAATACATATTTTCAACATCAACTAGTCAGTGGATTGTCTGATTTTTTAAAAAGCCCTAGACTGTTTCATGTCTAATAACTAGACACAATCAGAAGCGGTTTTAACAATATTTTGGGCACTAAATATGGCCTTTCAATAGTACAACTGACAGATATTCAACACAGAAATAAGCTAAATAACTATGTTTTAAAATAAAAAATGGGAACATTTTGGTCTAGTTGACTAGCTGACCATCCTCAGACATTCTTAGCTACACTCTTAAAAATAACGCTTCTTTATTAGTATTGATGGTTCCATGAAGAACCTTTAACATCCATGGAAACTTTCAATTCCACAAAAGGTTCTTTATTATGGAAAAAAATGTTCTTTAGAATCTCAAAATGTTCTTCACACTAAGAAAAAACTGTTATTTACAGGAATTGTTCACTGAGAGGTTTTTTGGGGAACCAAAAATGGTCCTTCTATGGTATCACTGGCTTACTTCACTCTTAAAAATAAAGGTTCTTTATTGGCATTGATGGTTCCTTTAAGAACATCCAAAGAACCTTTCCATCACACAAAAGGTGCTTCATAGTGAAAAAAAGGTTCTTCAGAAAATTAAAATGTTCTTCACACTAAAAAAACTGTTCACTGTAAGGTTCTTCTGTGGCATCACTGTGAAAAAACATATTTAGAAAATGTATTTTTAAGAGTGTTGCTTAGTTGGTCATAACATAAGTTGGAACACTATTTTTGTGTATTTTAAACATAATTTTTAGTGCTACAGAAACAGATTCAAACAAGGGACAGGTCAAACTTATTTTCTGTTCATCATACCGCATAAACCGTCAATAGAGCAAAAGCTGCACTTAACCTGGATTATTCCTTTTAAAGTCAGTTTTTCAGTTTAGTAAAAATGAATTGCATTTGTCTCACTCTGCAATCTACCTGTCATCCTGAAGTGGGGTTTGTTTTGTAGATTTTAAAATAGTTTCAGGACGCAGCTCACAGCACTGAATTCTGAGTGTGATTTCACACCAGAGAGTACTAACAAAACCAAATAGGATTTTTTTTTCACAAATATGCGAGACCTTGTAACAACGGGAAACTGCACGGAGCTCTTAGAGCCTCATTCAGATGAGAATAGGTGGATGTGTGTGTAATTTAGAGCTCTCTGTTTGAACTTTGAATACTGGAGAGCTATGAGTTGAATATCTCTATAAAAGAATCATTGAGGGAGTGAGACTGACATCCCGTATGGAGCTGCAAAAACCTGCGTCTGCTTTCTAAAACACATACCGCTCAAGGAGAGAGAGAGGGGAGGCCAAGACCTCCAAATGTCCTCTCTTCACTCTCTTTGCTTTATTTAAGAGGACGTGCATGTTTTATGCGGACTATCTCTGCCTCATTCAGTTCTCTCGCTGTATATCTCTTTCTCTCCCCGCCTCCCTCTGGGACTGTGCATATGTTGTTTGTTCAGATGAAATGTTTTTATAATGACTGATGAGTGTTTACTTATTTGAGCTGCAATTTCTCCATAGGACGCCCTCAGACTGTAAAATTAAAGCCTGTGTTTGTGTGTGTGTCTTACAGAGCCTTATTTTGTGAGCGCCGTGGAATGGGGGCCTCATATCTACTTCTTCTTCAGGGAGATGGCCATGGAGTTCAACTACCTGGAGAAGGTAAGAAAGAAAAATACAGGCAGAGATTTACGCTGCTGTTCAAAAGTTTGGGGTTGGTCAAATTTGCTGTATTTGAAAGAAGTCTCTTTTGCTCACCAAGGCTGCAGTTATTTGATTAAAAATAGAGTAATAATGTGAAATATTATTACAGTTAAAAGGTTTCTATTTGAATGTGATTTAAAATGTCATTTATTTCTGTGATGCAAAGCTGAATTGTTAACATCATTACTTCATTCTTCACTGTCACATGATCTTTAAGAAATCATTCTAATATAGTGATTTGGTTATAATATTTTTGTAGAAATTGTTTTTTTTTTTTTAAAGATTTTTTGATGAATAGAAAGTTGAGAGGAATGACATTTATTTGAAAAAGAATCTTTTGTAACATTATAAATTTATAAACTTTTTATCAATTTATTGCATCCTTAAAAAATGACTGACCCCAGCAGTCCATTCTTACCATTTAATGTTGATAATTAATCAAGGTGGTATTATCGCACTCATAACTTGCACATTAATATACAGTTTGATTGTCCATGAATAGCTATCAATGACAATTCAGTATTGAGAAACTTGATAGTGCGCCGCCCATTACTCAGAGGTCAGCCAATCATAACACTTTAACATTGACATATTAAAGGTACAGTACTGTAAAGATCTGGTAGCAATGGTATTTTTAATTTAAAGGAGTAGTTTACCCAAAAATGAAAATTTGCTGAAAATGTACTCATCCTCAGGCCATCCAAGATGCAGATGAGTTTGTTTCTTCATTGGAACGGACTTTCTAATGTAATGTAGCATCATATCACTTGCTCACCAGTGGATCCTCCACAGTGAATGGGTGCCGTCAGAATGAAGAGCTAATAAAAACATCACAATAATCCACAAGTAATCCACACCACTCCAGTCCATCAATTGCCATCTTGTAAAGCGAAAAGCTGCATGTTTGTAATAAACAAATCCATTATTAAGACTTTTTTCTTCAAACTAATATTGTTTCCTCCATTTCCTTTAATTAAAATGAAAGTGAGAAAATGGTTTGGGCAAAACTAAATTATGACGACTTTTGGCACAAGAAGCCTTAACCAACTTTATAATTGGACTGTTAAAAAAAACTAATAATAAAATGCAATAGAGCAGAGCATATGGCCCCTTTAGGTTTTTACACTATTGTCAAACAGCTGAATTCTCATGATTGAAGTGTGAGGTTGAAAAGCAGTTCTCCAGTGAATAGTCACTTTGATTGTAGCTCTGAATAGAGGCTGTGTGGAATAAAAACTGAACTCTTTTCATTTTGAATGTGTGTGTGTGTGTGTGTGTGTGTGTGTGTGTGTGGGCGGCTCTCAGCGGGTGTTGGAGCGCCAGTGGACGTCGTTTCTGAAAGCGCGTCTGAACTGCTCGATCCCGGGAGACTCGCACTTCTACTTTAACCTGCTGCAGTCCACAAGCCCCATCATACGCATGCAGGGCAGGGACGTCATCCTGGGGGTCTTCTCAACACCCTCCAACAGGTACACACACTCATACAGGAGGCATCCTAAAGAGGACGGTGTGATCATTTGCATTATATTGGAACAATCTGTGTGTGTGAGTGAATGATGATGAATGCAGATGAGACAGTAATGTGATTCAACAGCCCTGATGCAAATAAGGACAAAAACCTTTGAGAAGGTTATTTCCTCAAATCATATTGGCACCATTTATTGTCTTATCAGTTTCCATTCCCAGATCTCTCTGGTTACTATTATTTGTAAGGCACTGTAAAGGTGAATTTCTTAAGAACTTACCTGGTTCATATTTCACACCAAAGCCAAAAGAAAGAAAAGGTGTATTTTATTTTCAGTATATGTTTATTTTAAAGATCATAAATATAGTTATTTATTTTATGACAATAATTATATAATAATTATATATTTAATTGTGTTTATTTTCATGTCAGTAATATCTTGCAGCAAAACATAATGTTTGTTTGTTTGTGTCACGTTGCTGCTGTGTTGGAACGAGGAGCAAGGAGACGACAGAGTTTCACAAAGAACAGTCTTTATTAATCCACACGGGTAACACAGGGTAAGCAGGAGACACACATGTATCACATATTACTGACGTTAACACCGGACAAAGGAAACCAGGAACTGACAACACTTTATATACAAGACTAAATGAGGGTAATGAACGGGACACACCTGAACCAAATGACTAATCGAAACGAGAGGGAGAAACTGGGTCACGGGGAGCACATGGGGAGAAAAACCCAACACAAACAGTCCATACTCCTGACAGTTTGTTTATTACTGTATGATATTATTTTCGTGACAATTAAACATATTTTTGCCACCAAATTTTTAGAAATATAATATAAAAAACATTTATTTTTAAATCAAAGAACGGTCTTTATTAATCCACACAGGGGTAACACAGGGTAAGCAGGAGACACACATGTAGCACATATTACTGACGTTAACACCGGACAAAGGAAACCAGGAACTGACAACACTTTATATACAAGACTAAATGAGGGTAATGAACGGGACACACCTGAACCAAATGACTAATCGAAACGAGAGGGAGAAACTGGGTCACGGGGAGCACATGGGGAGAAAAACCCAACACAAACAGTCCATACTCCTGACAGTTTGTTTATTACTGTATGATATTATTTTCGTGACAATTAAACATATTTTTGCCACCAAATTTTTAGAAATATAATATAAAAAACATTTATTTTTAAATTTCATAAATGTTATTTATTTTCATTACAATAATTATATATATATATATATATATATATAGTTATTTATTTATTCTGTCTATCTATGCAATTATTTTCTTAGTTTCATGTCAAGTAGTCATATTTTTCTACCAAATTCCTATAATTATAATGAAATTTTTTTTAAATCTAGTTACATTAATTAAAATAAAGAAAAATAATGATTCATTTTATTATTTTATTTTATTTTTCTGTATTTTTTATGACAGTCAAGTACATTTTCCCCATCAAATTCTCATCTAATTCCAAGTACAGTAATTAAATAACAATAATTATATACAATGATATGTTGACGCTTTTATATTTTACTAAAATAAAAAAAAATACTATGTTAAACTAATGTGAATCTAATAAGAATCACCATTGACAATAATGAGAATTTCACAAAAATGAGTAAAACATCCACGCACAGTTATGAGAATGAGATTTTTTTCATTAAGGTGATGAGGGAGAAAGTTCTTAACTGTCATTAAAATAATGTCTTAAAATAGACTCTTTTTTTTTTTGTTAGTAAAATATAATTTCCTTTGGGGTTGGTGGTGAAATATGATGTGGGCATGTTTTTGTGACATTCACCCCGTAAATGTGTAAAGATTATGAAACGTAACTAAATTGAAGGGAAATGGAAAGCGGTTCTACAAACGCATGTACGCACGCTCCTCTGTGATTTCGCTACTTATTAGTCTGTTTTGAACCCGAGCAGCACGAATGAATCCAATTTCAAGGCAATTTGGATTTTGTTCTTTTGATATTCTGCCTACAAGGCCTGTTTTTTCTCCAGAAGAAAGAGTGAAGAGTCGTGAGAGTTTGATTGTCTCGGGAGAAAGACTGTTTAAAATTCTGTTATCGGAGATGTTAAGAAATGCCATAAACACATTTTAACAATGGACAAAACACTGATCTGCTTTCCTCAGGATTATAAATGGCCAGCTCACATTGTGCTGTAGTTTACAGTAACAGTTGTGACATCTGTCAAAATGTGCGAAGGGAGCGAGTCAGAGAAAGAGAAACAACTATATATTTAGAGAAATGTGCTTCTGCCTGGGAAGCCTGTACAAAATGTACCATAGTAGTTGTTTTAGACACTATTATGATGGAAATACCATGGTATTCTATGAGATACTTTACAGTACTATTTATATTGCATGGTCTATTTACATTTCTGCATTTGTCAGACACTTTTATCTAAACTTGTGCCATGGTACCTTTCAAACGGGTTTTGTTTCTTTGGTTTTTGTAAATAAATTAATGCGTTTATTTATCAATGATGCATCAAATTAGTTAAAAGTGATAGAAAAAGTTTAGAATTTTACAAAATATTTAAATTTAAAATAAATGCTTTTGATTCACAATTTTAATTTTCTTTTCAACATTTTTTTTAATACTTTTTATTCATAAAAGTGTCCTGAAAAATACAATTAGGACTTTTTCCCACAAAATTATTAAAAAGCACAACTGTTTTCAACATTGATAATAATAAATATTTCTTGAGCAGCATATCAGCATCATAGAATGATTTCTGAAGACTGGAGTAATGATGCTGAAAATTTAGCTTGGCATCACAGAAATAAATTGCATTTTAAAATATATTCAAGCAGAAATCAGCTCTTTTAGATTGTAATAATATTTCACAATATTACTGTTTTTACTGTATTTTTTTTATCAAATAAATACAGCCTTGTTGAGCATAAGAGACTTCTTTTAAAACATTATAAAACAGTTGTGTGTATTAATATGGTATTGGACACTACCATAGTAATTATGTGATGCAACATTAGTCCTAACTCATTTGCTGATTCTTTATGCTGATTATTTTACAACGATTATCTCACAAAGTATCATGGTATCACCATCACCACAGTGCCGCCACAGGCTGATTTGCACGGGAAGGTAAGAGATGAAACACTCTCACTGGAGGTTTATACACTGACATTTTATATCTGTGTGGAAACTGAACCCCCTCCGAGCAAATGTGGCATAACATTTCTAAATGGGTGCCAGATACTCCATGATTGACACATGCAGTAAATGTAAAATATCTCTTTGTCGTATCACAGAGCGGTTTTACAGTGGCACAGCATACCTGGGAGTATAAATGATCACTGGAACAAGCTAAAAAACTAAAGATTTGACGTTGAATTCAACATTGAATTGCGCTTTGGCGCAGTGCGACTCCTGAAACAACAGGGCTTGAAATAACTCCCAATAGAGAATCGACATTTACATACTGTAGACCCAAAATAAAGGGCTACGGCGACAAAGAGAGGAAAAGAGATGGCAGAAGATACTGTAGAACAACCAGCCGATAATCTGAGCTCATGGGCTTATGAACAAGAATGAATTGTTCTGTTCTGTGCTGAGCTAACTGGATAAACAGTCAAGTACATCATAAAACCAGCCCAAATGTTGTTCTGTCAGCTCTCAGTGTGGGTCCCGAGAGCTCGTAACACACTGTAAGAGCCCTCACTAGTCTACAGGCTCCGCGGGTAAGCATACGATGAGTGTGTGTTCAGCATGATATACTGCAGTCCATCAGGTGGATGATGAGGGCCATTTTCACTAGATTACCTCTCATTGTGTTCGTATGATTAGAATAAAAATGAGCTTCATCATCAGCTTCCAGGGGAATGTTTTTGGTGTTGTATCTGCTCTCAAGAGCAAATCATAGGACAGCCGCTGAGAAAAGAAAGGGATAAAGATGAATGAGAAGTTGGAAATCATTTGAGGGGACAATGTGTTCACCGTGTGAAAGATGCACTTATTTATGTGTGTACTGTGACCGCTTTTGGTTTATGTTTTGTTCTCTGCATGTGAATGAAGAATAACGCAATAAGTCACGAGTGGCTGTCAATAACAGTGATTTTACCTCAGGTAATCTCTCTTAACCATATAACAAATCACTCTAACGCACAGCCTTGATTGGCATACTGCCTTTTTAATAATAATTATTATTATTATTACTATTATTAACAACAACAACAACAACATAATAATAATTATATTGTATATTGTATAATAAGTATATTGTTTGGCTCAAGAAAAATTCAATCTGATTGTTATTATTAGTGGTAGAAGTTGTAGTATTGAATGGTCTCTCAATACTTTATTATTATTATTATTATTATTATTTATACAACATTAACCGATTTCTGTATTAATATTTAGATTTTACTTGGTAACCATCAACATACTACAGTTAGGATAATAAAGTATATTGTTTGGCTCAAGAAATATTAAATCTGATTGTTATTATTAGTAGTCGATGTTGTAGTATTGAACGGTCTCTCAATACTTTATTATTATAATAATTATTATTATTATTAAATACCCATATATAAGCCATATATTAATATATAGCCATACATATGGTAATATATTCACATATTATTGTTGATGTTGTTGTTGTTGTTGTTATTGAACAGTGCCAGATTTCTTTAGTAATATTTTTGTATATTATTTGATATTATTTTTTTTTATTATTATTATTATTATATGACCATATATAAGCCATATGTTAATATATAACCATACATAGGATACTGAATTATATTATTTGTGAACAATTATTATTATTGTTATTATTGAACATATTTATGTATTAATATTTTGTATGTTTGTTTGCAACCATCAACAACAGCCTACAATTAGGCTAATGAACTGTGTGATTTGGTGCAAGAATTGTTTATTATTATTATTGTTGTTCTTGTTATTAATAATAATAATAATCCAAATGATATTATGATT